TTTGTTATTTTCACAACTGTATTTCTGTATGGGTTGGTTCAATTTGACAACCTTTGTAACAGCAACAAAAATTAGGAAAAAAATATTAATTATGCTTTTTTCGTTCTAGAATGACTACAAATTATAACAAGAAAACACAAGTTTATAGTCTAAATAGCTTAAATCTCATAACATTATACATTTATATATATTTATTGATCTTCCAACCATGTGTGGCTAACAATACAGAAGTTACAATGATGCAGCACTTGTGTTCCGTATCCAATAATATATAACTGACCATTAGTCTTTACAAAGTGACCTGTCTTGGCTGTGTTTTAGTGGACTAGTATTTTGTAATATACAGTCAGATTTCAATTATTATACATTATATATGTGTATACATTATTCCTACTTACAAATAAGTTCCTAAATTTATTTTTTTTAAAACACAGAACAGTAAATAAAGAAGTAAATCAAACAATTATCTCTTCTAGTTATGACCTTTGTACTCATTTGCCACTTGTCATAGGATACTAAGCCTTGTGAAATTTCCCACGTGGAGGATGTGAAAAGAAAATATTTTTTTAGGTTTTATATATACATTTCAAATAACCCAAAAATCATAAATTGCTATACTGATACCATAGAATTCCACTATAATTTATCAAGCATAGTAACTAAGCTGTATTTCGGTCTAAAAAATATGACATTTCGAGCTCACTAAAGACTTGCCTCATAATTTGAAATCTTGCGTGAAAAGAATGAAATTAGCATAATAACACATCAAAATGGCTGAGAAAAAACCACTAGTGGTCATTCTGAGCTTTTGATTGGTTATTTGTGCCATATATAGAAGTAAGTGTATATAAGGGACCATTTCCAAAAATGGAAAGTGGTGGGCGAGGGGACCACTGTGTTTGATTCAGTACAGGAGCGATATCTTAGCAAATAGAAAAGAGGTTCTTATTTTATATTATAGCTTATTGATATGGGTAGCTTAAATTCCTTAATTGTATAAAACTGTAAATTTTGTATTTTGATATATTAAAAACATCTAATTTTAATCAGTGCTGCATTCAACATGCCACATGCCACACAAAAATAAATGTTTAGGTGTTTTTTTAATATTCACTTTTAAATGAAGAAATTAACTGATGTATAATAGTAACATCTGAATTGTAATCTACAATTTGATACCAAACTTACTGACATAAATTCATAAAATAGTAGTTCAATAAAATTTTGAATGCAAGTCAACAAATGCAGTGACATGGCCTTTGACACGTGACCTTGTTTCAATAAGGTTAATGGCAAACTTTGCAAATACTCCAAAGTTATAGCAAAAATTACATGTTAAACTGTCTATATTTCAAATTTCAATCAAACTCAAAAAATAAAATACTGATATCTTAAAACTGAAAAAAAAACAATTATGGTAACATTTTAAAGTGAGTAAGAAAAAAATCACAACTTATTCTATTTTGTGCAGACAGTAAAAAATCAGAGAAGTGATTATACACTCTTACAAATTAAAACTAGTGTGTACCATGGAAAAAGAATTAGCACAAAGAATCACCCAAAAACTTGAGTGCTTCTATATAGTTGACTACTCTTCTTCAGGAGTAAAAAAGGTAACTATTAAAAAATGTGAGGTAGTAAATATGAAAGAGATGTACACCTCACATGAGCAGGAAGATTTTGTCAAGGTAGCTGTGAAAGCTCACCAATCACAATTGAAGAAGGGTGTATCATTAGAAAATGAAAATGTCAATGCAGTATGTTTAGTTCAAAGTAATAAATTAATGAATACTATGACGAAGTTGAAAAGAATTATGCACTTATACGTAATGATAAAGATAAACATTCCCTATGTACAACAAGCAAAAATAACATATTTCAAAAAGCAATAGCTCTTGATTCTAAAAACCAAATCATAAAATATATAATAAAATAAAAGGTAAAAAAATTCATATGAAAACACTTGTTTTTAAACTTTATCTATTTGTTTTTTAAGGAGTGAAAAATCAACACAGTAATAGAAAAGAATAAAAGTGGAATAACACTTGCAGGTTTACAAAATTGTAATAATAATCAAGAAGTGGAAGGTGACCAGCTTTAGGTTAACTGGTAGTATGGAAATCAAACAAGTTACTTTTGGAGCTTTTATAGGAATGTACTATTGTCAACAATTCCAGGATTAAGACTGATGCCATTCAGCATTAGAGAATTCATTGTTGCTATCCAGAAAGCTTCCTTAGTTTCTCTCCTTAGTTTTCTTCCTTAGTATAGTGTCTATACATTTGTATTTAATGACATGAATGGAGTTGTTGGGTATAATACATATACTGTTTGAATATGATAAATATAAAATTGGCATTCAATAAATAAGCATTTCAGTAGCTTTCAAACAGATAATTTAACATGAAAATATGTTCACAAACAATTAGTATAAATATAATAAAACTATTACAAAATTACCAGCTTTGTGATTTGTTCCCAAGTCTTCAAAAGTTCCCATTATATATGTTTGGTCAATGCTATAGGAGCTCTGACTAGCAACTTTCCCATAAAAACATAAACTACTGCTCAAATTACATAATTTACTCTACTATGGTGTGATATGTCTAATTTTTGCTGTATACAATAATATTTAAACTTTCTTTATAGATATTTCCAAAGTTGCATTTCATTGGTAAATGATGAAACTGCTTGATGTGACATCATAAAATGGTGGCACTAAGGCATGTACAAAAAAGCTTAAAACAGATAAGGAAAAAAAACTTGAAAATCAAGATATGGATAACATACTCTCAACAGGTGATAATTTCTTAACAAATATGAAGATTTTCTTTGAGATGGTAAAATGTTTTTTTTTTTAAATCAACAAGTGCATTGTTTACATGAAGGAGTCCCAGGAAATGCAAAGAAATGAAAATTTGAACAGTTGTTTCATTTTTGTCCATGAATTACAATAATTAAATATTAAAAAATATAATATTGATTCTAAAACATTTTTGCATTAAAAATTGTTGAAATATAGGTAGAACTATTATTTTTACTTGAATTTCAAAATTTGTGCTTCATCAACTTATATAATTCATTCAAAAATTTGAGGGTCAAAAAAAAAAAAAAAAAACAGAGGAAATTCTGGCTTACTAATCATGTGTCAGCAACATTA